AGAGATGCTAAAAAGTCAAATAATTTAGCAACAAATTGTTTAAAATATCGTCAAAATCAGTCCACCAAAACACAATATATAAAACTCAATAATCATACATCATAGTAAAACAGTGGCGCATCTAGAGATTGAAACCGGGAGGCAGGGGTGGATGGGCCATATGGGAAAACGGGAAAATTCCCGGTGGGCCGGTGGAAAGATGGGCCGGTGGGCTGGTCCCGATCAGAACTCAAAAAAGATTGGATTAGCAAAAATTAAATGGTTAATCTTCTAACTAAAGTGACGTAAGATCCTTAGTGACTTCATAACTAACTAATCAATTTGCATCAGTATAATCGTCAGTTGCTTTTAAACATAAACACCAATTTGTAAAATAACTATTGTAAAATGTCTTTCTCTGGGACACTCATAATTTTAATAATCATCTTGTTTGTTCGGTTTGAAAATTTTTATTATACAAGGTGAGTCTATAAGCGCAAATATTTTCAGGGCTGGTAGATCTCAATAAAATAAACATAATATATTCTTTTTTTCATTTATCGAGTTTCAAATAAGTCCAATTATCAATAGGTTATTAAAGTGTGGAAATTTAAAAAAAGAAGATTTATTTTTAAAAAAATTTGAGCCACCTCAATTTTTCGGTATTTGCATCTCTTCTAGTGCCGTAATATCAGAGATTAAGAAACTATACCGTGGGAAAATTTGCGGTGAACAGGAATTTCTAAAAAGTTTTCTAAAATATACAAGAAAATTAAAAAAAAATGCTCGATTTTTATCTTTTTTTGCAAAAAACCTCATAGACGTGTTCTTGGGGTCAAAATATGCCACCCCTGAAAATATTTGCACTTATTTAAGACTCACCCTGTATAGTTTTACCCACTATTCTTTTATTAATAACTAGTAAATATGACTGACTGGCAGCAAAAAAAAAGAATGAATAGTATTAGATAAATTTAAATAGTCTCGATCTAACTGTATACTAAGAATACGGTAGCGTAGATTGACAACTGGGGGCCTTGGTGCCATATTTTTCGAGCTCCCCTTTGTAAAAAGGTAGACGAATTTGACACGAACTCTGCGGTTGACGGAGAAAACATATCTATGTTTGGCTTGAATTGGGGACGGACTAAAAGCCAAGTCTGAGAACTACAAGCCAAGTCTAAATTGTTGTTTAAAATGTTGCTAAAATGAATTTGCCAAAAGTTACTTAGACAGCAGAGAAGAGTTAAATAAGGTTTAAACTAGCGATGGGAACTATCGAATGAATTAGACTATCGAATGGTTAATGAATGAATGATTTCAACTATCGAATGGTTTTATTCGAATAAAATCATTCATTCATTTGTAAACTAAAGCATATGTGACAACCTCGCCGTGCGACTAAATGGTTATCGTTGAGCCACGACTATCGAATGCTTTTGATAAATGAAATTTAGTATTCGTTTGATTTTTGTATGCGTCAGTGCATTATTAGTTCTTCCAAATTTTTATAACTTCACCGTATAAATACTGTGCTATTTTTGCGTTTACTAAAATAGTTAAAATACTAAAATAGTAGTTATTTTTTAATTTTATTTATTGACGATTGTGTGCATGTGCAGGTGGTCAAAATTTTTCCGAAAAGTTGTGTGGTTTTCCGTAGTCCGATCTTTCAATTATTTAATTTTATATGGTATATGGTCTATTTTTTAATGGGAAATTTTGAGAAGTAGCAATTTTTAAGAGAGATGAGATGAACTTAAATTAATTTTAAAAATACATATTTGTATTTTAGATGTTTTAATAATATGAATTAGTTGAACTTAATAATCATATTTAAGTAATGTGGTTAAGTAAATGGTTATCGAACTCAAACTATGGGGTGAGAAAATTAAAATGAAAGTTTTACACGTGCCAATTTAAAAAAAAGTTAACGATGTTTGTATTTTGTTTATGCTAATTCTCTTACATGTAGTTTTTTGCGAAGAAATATTTCATTTATTTTTTAAAGTAAATGCCAGTAAAAGTAATATAATTAATTAATATAATTTTTAAATAGAGATATAAAGCACCTAATATAAATAATTTTGATTTCTAATTTTTTATTTATATTTTCGTTCCATTACACTGCATGCTTAGAAAATTAATAAATGTTTATATTTCATGATTTTAAAATTTGTTGTTAATATAACAAATTAGTTCTGTAATTATTATTATTTAACAAACCAACGTTGCCAAAAAATTTAAAGACTATATTATTTTTAAATAGGATCTAATATAAATAATTTTGACATCTAATTTGTTGTTTATATTTTGCTACTACTTAAAAAAATATTGATATTAAATCATTTTAAATTTTGTTGTTAATAGGTATAACAAATTATTACTGTTATTATTATTTATTAAACCAGTCTTTGCTTAAAAACATTAAAAATCACTTTCATGTTCTTACATCCAAAATAACAAGTATTATTGCAGTGTAACAACAGAATATTAATAAAAAAAAATGCAGAATATATAGACATACTATCCCTAACTAACTAAAGCCAAACAATAATATTCTTTGCTAATATCAACTAATGCCAAAATATGGCAACAGCGCCCTTCATAATGTATTTTCTGTGTAAATACTAGCACCTCAATAAAAAAAATAATGTGTCCTTATCTATATCTGACTCCGCAAAAAATCAAAGATGCCGGCTTCTTTCATAGCATTGCCACCGACCGCTGTCGGGTTTCTCGGAAAGAAACCTACGTCGCCGGGCGACAACTAAAATTCAGTTAATATTTTATTATAATCGATCCTGACGAATAAATGAATTTCATAAATGAATGAATTTTATAAATGAATGAATTTTATAAATGAATGAATTTTATAAATGAATGAATTTTATAAATGAATGAATTTTATAAATGAATGGTTTTTGCTGCCGAATTACTAGAATACAATATTTCAAGGCAGATGACGGATCTATTCGATAATTTTTATTCGAATAGTTTTCAACGAATGTTTTCTTACTAACTATCGAATTATTCGAATGAATTGCAACTATCGAATGTTTCGATAGTATTCATTCGATAGTTCCCACTACTAGTTTAAACTAGATTAGATAATAAAATATTAATATGTCTCGAAAATCCAAATATTCTTATTATGGAATATTTATGTTATGGTGGACTGTAACATAGCATTACATCAGCATCAGAACACATTTATATCCACTGCCTAGGTTTTTTTCGTTTGAGTCATGGCATTATCATACAAGATGCCAAATGTAGAAAAGTATAGAGGAAAAGTTCTGTAATAAGAACTATATAATAACCTAAAAAATGCTGCAGTTTTAATGGCGACCGCGGTTCATACAGTTAAAAACACGTGTACATGAGGAGGCTGCTGCTGTAGCAGAAAAGAGAGAATTTCTTTCTACAATGTGTCAGAAAGTATATAGCCGGGAAGCTAAAAGTAATGTATTTTACAGAGGATTGGGTCAGCTGAATTAAATGAAACAGGAAGTCTTAAAAATTTTCAAAATCGTAGCCTATTTAAGATCAAATTACCGTTATCGATAATGGAAATAAAGCAGTAGAACCCTGTAAAACTGAGCCATGTTGTAGTAAAAATTCAGATGTCCGACCCAATATTGGTCTTTACGAAAATTTTGATCAAGAAAGAAAATTTTGATCAAGAAAAGAGCTTTTTCGCACGAGCTAATATATCTACTAGCTAATATACTAGATTTATATTAGATTTCCGCTAAAAGGTATTCTGACTGGAAGAAAATAAACCTAAATTGGTCTGGATTTCTATTTTGATTGGTATTATTAATTTCTTTTGTAACAATTTTATTTTATACCCCATTTTATCTTATTTATAAATATCTCTCTGGGAGGGGTAATTACCCCCATTACCCCTCCCGTATATGCGACCCTGTAATAAAATACATAAAAATTTTAAGATGCCTGTTTTTCATGCCGGTGAGTGCCGGCTGATGAGTGCCGGTGAGTAGATGCGTAGAGAGGCTTTATTCCAATTTCAGTATGGCGGAATATGAATTTTATACTCGTATCAAAACTTAAAGGCAAACATTTTAAACTGCCTCTACGCTATTCGCGAAATAACCCGAAGTAGGTCAAGGTCGAATACCGAAGAGAGATATTTCGTATTTCCTCCCCTAACTTTTCCTCGTCTCATCTTATTTTCATTAGACGAAGAAAGACGCAATCACCCTCTTCACTATTATTCGACTCTGACCTACTTCGGCCTATTTCGCGAATAGAAGACTTACTAAACTAATTCTGTCATGTAATAAATACAGGAGACAAAAGAAAATATAAAATGTATTTTTACGTAACTTTTTACACAGCAGCGGAGGAAATAAAAACTTATTAGTAGTATTTTTTCTACAGCTGAATGGTAAAATTGTTATAAAATATAAACTACACGTAATCTAACATAACAATATCCAATTAACGTAAAAACTTCACTTATATCAGTTTCAATAAATACGTATTTTTTTATAAAAATAGAACATTAGAAAATACATTGTTTTACTGCGTAATTTGTAGATACATGACCTAACATAATAGATAATAGCATATAATTAACAATATACAGGATGAACCTAAGCATTTTAGTCCAATATAGATACCTAAATTTGTTATAATCAAGAGTCTGCATTAAAAATATAACTCCTGATAGATATTAAAATTCAGTAAAAAAATATATTAATGCTCTATTTATAATAAACGTGAATAATTCTCATAGTTAGGTAGATATAATATAGTATATTTATTATTGTTTACGTCCTGTATAAAGTTAATAAAGCATAAAGTGCAGAAAAAAGTTATTTGATTAAAAAAACACAATAACAATCATTATTTTTTCTCTTAATCACAATAGTTTTATCTGAAATGATTAGATGCAGTAATTATAACAAAACTAATGTTGATTTCGCAATTACTTTTATTATTAAGTCTGTTATTAAATATTAGCGAATCATGTAATTATAATATTTCTTTAGATTTATTCGATGGATAAAATGAAGGGACCCAGGAACGAGTTGTATACTGCCCTCTGTTTGCCCTCTTCTTGTTCTTTCGAAGACCTTAAGGAAATCCTGGAAAAAAACAGTGCATCCATTAACGAATTGAACGACTTCCGTTTGGTTATCGATATCGACAAGTACGATTGTCAAATTTTCCAACCAACTGAACTGAGTATTGGCGATAACATTCTTATGTGAGTTTTTTATTTTAAATACCAGTGGCGGCTGCAGATTTTTTACTACATGTTATGATAGGGACGGATAGAGGAATTTATTTTAGGGGCGGGGCCAAATAAAAAATCATGTAAAATATGCTTTTTAGGACACCATTTTTAACCCAAAAGCCTAATATTAAATCCAATTTATAGACTTTAGGGGGGGGCCCAACGGCCCCCTCTGTATCCTCCACTGTGTTATGATAAAAGATATTAAAGCACGGGTAACAAATTAGCCTTGTCACGAATTTGCCCATAAGGTTGCGTATCTTCATAATTTCTTTCAATCAACGGTATAATTGAATAAACCACTAATTTCGAGGTCCTGATCTTCACTTGTTGGATAGATTGGGATTCATATTGGGGATTGGGGAAATAAACACAACCGCAGAGTCTAGGGATATTTTAATTTTTGCCTATATTTTTATTTTATAGCTGCGAAAATCTATGAATTCTTTCAACCTTTATTGTTTACCTTTACTAAGTGCGTCTATTTTGCTGTATTTTTGCAAACAAGTGAAATTTATGGTACCTTTTGTTGTACGCATACTTGAAAGATAATCGCTCAATTTTTATTTTTGAAAGATCAGTGTATTATTAACCATGCAGCGTAGGCATTTAACTCGAGAAGAAATGATTAGAGCGGTTGGTCTTTTGGACGGTGGTATGAGACAAACTGATGTTGCGAGGGAAATGGGTACTTCACAAAGCATGATATTACGTTTTCGCTCACGATATGGAGAAGAGGGTGATGTGACGGAAAGACACAGGGGACGTGGGCGTATTACCAACCCAGTACAAGACCGAATTCTGCAACTTAATGCTCGGAGAAATCCCAATATTACGGCACCTGAGCAATGGAATAATGGTGCAACAAGTTCATGGCATTGTCATTTTGGATGATACTGTGCGTAGACTTTTACATGAGAATGGCCTTCGCAGTCGACGCCCTTTGAGAGTTCAACCTCTTTCCTGGGGCAATCGAGATACTCGACGTCAGTGGACACAGGAACATTTAATTTGGCGAAATGAAAATTGGGCTTCAGTTCTTTTCACGGATGAGTTCTGGTTTGGCATACATCCTAATTCAAGAAGGGTTCGTGTCTGGAGAGAGCCTGGTAATTTGATTCGCCTTCAAAATGTTCAGGAGGTTCACTCTTACAGAAGAGGAACAATAATGGTCTGCAATAATAATGGACAATAATGGAATAAGCATCGGTGGCAGAACTGATCTCATTTTGTTGGAGAACTTTTTAACGGGTAAGTCATATGTTGATCAGATACTTGGACCTGTTGTCATTCCGTATGCGGCAGCTATGGGTCCCAATTTCCTATACATGAATGACAACGCCAGACCTCAAACAGATAGGATTGCACTGGACTTCTTGGAAGACAACAATATCGATGTTTTACCATGGCCACCGAGCGACAATATTTTGTATAAAATTATTTTATTTTATCCCACAAAATTCTAAAATTTTATAAAAAGAAGAAATCGAACAAAAATGAGCCATTAGAGGCAATTTTGAAAAAATATCCCTAGCTTTTGCGGTTGTGTGTATTTTTAACTTTCAAATTATTTAAATCATTTATTTGATAGACTCCATATAAATAAACAGTTTATGGTGTTACGTGTTGTCATATAACATTTTTTTAGGCATTTTCTTATAAACTGTTTGTCATGATGAAATCATTTTTATAGTCCGGTGGAGCTACCAAAATCCGTGTGTTTTTAGTAGTGGCCTATTTTTATGATTCTAAATAATTTTTAAGGTGTTAACATTGAAGTTAAGGGTGGAAAATTTTGGCGTTTGGTCCCTACATTAAAATATACCAGCAGAAAAAAAATAAAGTTGTAAATAAAAATGAGATGTTTCTTCTCGGAAACAGTAAGTAGGTAGCTAAACGACCAGTGAAGCCTCATCGGAGAGAGCTAGTGGAGCTCTATATTAGCCCCATTTAAACTGTGTTTCAAAAATGCACAGTTTTCGAGATATTTAATTTAAAAGATTTTAATTGTCAATTTTCTGGATATACCGCCTTTTTGAAAAAATCGAATTTTTTATTTATTAACTTTTTTCACTTTTCTCACCTGGTATGGTTAGAAGACGTTAAGGTAAGCATTCTAAGTGCAATTTGACCACCTTTTTAAGTTATGTTGTATTTTAAAAAAATGCAGAAAATGAAAAAATCGGTTTTTATTTATTTTTTCTCGCCCTGTATGTATTTTTTGACAAACTGTGGTTACTTAAAAATTTAACTAATCGATCTGGAACGATCCACGCCCAAAAATCTTTCAAATCAGAATAAGTGACAAAACAATTACAACTTTGAGAAAAACCTATGAATACAACTTTGAAAAACACCTCACTGTAGTATTGAGTAATATTAAAAAGGATTGAAAGGAAGAAACGCTTACTCAGCGTATAAAAGACCATACCATAATGTGGTATACTGATGCTTCCAAAACCAAAGCAGGGAAGGGATAGGAGTATTTGGGTCGAAAACTAAATACTCCGCACCAATGGGCACCTACCCCAGTATCCTTCAGGCAGAAATGACCGCTATCAAAAGATGCGTACAATATATCTTAGATAGGAACTAATGAAAACAGGAAATTGGCATCCTATCCGATAGTCAAGCAGCACTAAACGCGATCAACTCAGTAAACATAAATTCGAAGTTGGTCAAAGAATGCCTAGAGAAGCTCAACAAATTAGGCAAAGAAAATAAAGTCCTCCTACTCTGGGTGCCTGCTCACCAAGGAATAGAAGGCTATGAAAAAGCAAATGATCTAGCTAGGAAAGGAGCGAACACTCCACTAACTGGATCAGAACCGTTCTGTTTTCCAAACGGGAACCAACTGAAAGCGGAACTGAAGAATCTGGAAGATACGGTCTAAGACACTTGAATAACGGTCTAAGACACTCGAAAACGTTCCTCAGGACTTACGACCGAGAAAAATCAAAGGTTTTCCTTGATTTAAGTAAAAACAATCTTCGGATTGTCACGGGCTTTCTAACAGGACACTGTCTCCTCAACGAACACCTCAGTAGGCCGAAGCTGAGAAACAACGGCGAATGCAGATTCTGTGGGGAAAATAGGGAAACACCAGAACACCTTATCACTGAGTGCGCCGAGACGACGACCATTCGTGATATGCATTTTGGTACGGCTGATGTCGAGGATGGAGAGCTGGCGGCCTCTGTGGAGCCGTCTCAGATACTGGCTTTTGTTAAAGCCCTGAGACTGTATGATGGGTTATAACTCGTTATAACTCAAGAAAGAAGAACACACAATAGATCTGTAAGGTCGCGGTGATTAACTCCCCTCCTAAACATTCTACAAACATTCGACATATGTGACAATAGCTCTATTTTGGCCGGGAGAATTTTTGAAAAATTTCGAAAGACAGTTTAAATGGGACCATTATAAAGCCCCACTAGCTCTATCCGTAGAGGCCTGCGGCCGCCAGTCTTTAAATTTATAAATGGAATTTTAGAGCAGAAAATGAAGGAATTTTAACATTGTTTCTTCATAATCGTGTTTAATAATCTCAGACATGTCTGGATATAACAAAAGAGACTTACTGGTCGTCTAGCTACTTACCGTTTCCGAGATATTTGCATTTTTCGATATTGGCAAAATTTCAACTTGAAATCGTTTTCTACGAATAATTATGAAAATCTAAGGAATGAAAAATAGGCCATGGGAGATTACTCGTCTATCCGACGGTAAATAAATAGTTTCTTAAAATTGAAGGGTTTGGTAGATATCCTAAAAAGAGTGGAAAAAGGCTAAATTTCCATAAATTTTCTCGGCCAAAATCGAGCTTTTTTACTTATTCCGATTAGAAATATTTTTGAAGGTGGATCGATGCAGATTGATTATATTTAAATTTTTTAGTATACACAAAAGCCCCCTAAAAAACTCACAGGATTTAATATATCGACCGGACTATTCCGCGATGAATTCACGCACCTTGCGATTGATTGATTATAGTATCTGTCACTCGTAAAATGTCAAAGGAATAATTGTAATTAATTTCATTTCTAAGGTATTTATTCATTTTCTATGTTTTATTATTACATTTTATTACATGCACATAATTGCAAAAACATAAAATTGCAATCGTATTGGAATCTTTGATTGAACATAATAATTTTAAAATAGGTAACTTTAATTCTATATCTAAGCTTTCCTATATACATATTCTCCTATACATGATAGGTACATGAAACGTTTACATATACATAATGTATCGTCAATTTGCTGTCAAAATTCGTCAAATTAAAAATGTTACCATAAATGCGAAAATTTTAATAGTATATCGAATTACATTTAAGGTTTTTTAAGATTTATATATTTTATTTTTTATAGTTTGCGGGTTTTAGATTTAAAATATGCTTTAAATCATGGTTCAATTTAGATATTAAAGAAATTGAAGACATTAAAGAACATAAATTAGTTTTATCAGATTCGCTTGATGTTATGTCAGGTAATCCTAGGGATAAAATATACAGGGTGAGTTTCCTACGATGTTCTCTATGGGTATCTCGAAAACTACTGGAGATAGAGAGTCGGTTAAATGGGAAAAGAATTGCAGTTTTGTGGAGTCATAAATATGCGCCTTTCAGATTTTTGAAAAAGTTCATGGCTTTAGATATTTCGAAAAAAACAAATTTCGGCTATTTTAAAAATTGTCCCTAATTCCATTATAAGCTATTTTAGACAAAAAGTTTTCAGATAAAAGTTGTAGATAATCACATCCTTAATGAGACTGTGTCCTCCGTTTTTTTCTAAAGCCTGTCATTTTTGACATATGACACAAACATAGGTTTTTTAAATGGAAACCATAGTTGGCCATGACTTCATAAAAAGCGCCATTTTTTAAGCTTTTTAGTGATGTAAGCTATAATATCTTTTCTTTGAAAAATTACTGAGTTATAGAAAATTCTTATCATTTTTAAACAATTTCACTTAGTTAGCCATGGAAACAAGTTCAATCGCCGTTGCTCTCTGAAGTGTGAAGCTGTCACATCCAAATTTTGTAAATTAAAATAAACAAAAATTGTAAATATGAATTTTTCAAATGAAGAAAAGCGTGTAGATACTCGCGCATCAATAGAGTGGTTTCAACATGACTTTCATTATGACACACCACCCCCCACCCCCCATAATGAAAGAAATGTTAAAAATTATTTATATCATTATAATACAAAAGCAGGGATAGGAAGAGGTGGACTAATCGCATAGGCCTTCCCGATCATCTGACCTATCCATTTTAGAATTTTTTATGCGGTATAGTTAACAATAAGGTTTACAAAAGAATTTTTGAATTAAGAGAGGCCATCGAAGTGGCGGTACGAGAAAAATTTAATTAAGTCGACCGGTCCTTCTGTGAGAATAGGTAGTAATTAAGTTTTAAAAAGATGCAACTCAAAACAATGGCGGATTTTTTGAACATTTTCTAAAATATCTTAAAGTGTACGTGGTGATATTTTTTTTTAAGTTTTAGTTTGTGTAATGTAAATTGTAAAGAACCGTTTAGTAATATATTCTGACTTTTTATAAGTTATAAATCATAACAGAATAAGAATACCATGCAATCTAAGTGAAATTAGTCAAGAAAGATAGAAATTGGCTATAACTAAATTTAACTTTTCTAACATGTCTTAAAAACCGTTCTCTAAAAAACGTAACATTCACCGGTCAACGTATCTTCGAAAATGTATGGCCAAAAAAAGTTAACCAAACCAATAATCCTACACGCTTTTCTTCATTTGAAAAATTCATATTTACAATTTTTGTTTATTTTAATTTACAAAGTTTGGATGTGACAGCTTCACATTTATGAGAGCAAAAACGATTAAACTTGTTTCCATGGCTAACTAAGTGAAATTGTTTAAAATGATAAAAATTGGCTATAACTCAGTAATTTTCAGAAGAAAACATATTATATCTTATATCGCTGAAAGCTTAAAAAATGGCGTTTTTATGAAGTCATGACCGACTATGGTTTCCATTTAAAAAACATATGTTTGTATCATATGTCAAAATGACAGGCTTTAGAAAAAACAGAGGACACAGTCTCATGGGATGTGATTATCTACAACTTTTATCTGAAAACTTTTTGTCTAAAATAGCTTATAATGGAATTAGGGACAATTTTTAAAATAGCCGAAATTTGTTTTTTTCGAAATATCTAGTAAGCCATGAACTTTTTCGAAAATCTGAAAGAGGCATATTTATGACCCCACAAAACTGCAATTCTTTCCCCATCTAACCGACTCTCTATCTCCAGTAGTTTCCGAGATACCCATAGAGAACATCGTAGGAAACTCACCCTGTATATTATCTAATGAAAAAAAGTTTTTTATTTTTTTTTTTAGAAAAATTCTCAAAATATCGATATTTTTGGAAAACTTTTCCATATTTTTGAAAATTGGTTAACATATGTACCTTAAATAATATACTGAAAAGTTTTTTTGATATTTGTCAAAAAAACGGCATCAAAGACGGCTAGGACATGAGACTCGATGATAATTTTAGGGCGGTCAATCTCTAGAAATCTTTACTAAAAATTGATATAAAAACTTGTCCAAAATGAGATATAAAGATTAAAAAGGGATAGAAAGACCAGACACACAAATCTATTTCCAAAAAATAATTTTATCTCGAATTTTAAAGTACACTATTTAAAAATAAAGTTTAGTCTGGCAACAAACTGGCAACATAATGGTACGGTTGATGTCGAGGATGGGGAGCTGGCCTCTCTGGAGCCGTCCTAGATACTGGCTTTTGTTAAAGGCCTGAGACTGTATGATGAGTTAGAACTTTTTATAACTCAATAAAGGGGAATACACAATAGAGATCTGTAAGGTCGCGGTAATTAATAGCGATGGGAACTATCGAATGAATTAGACTATCGAATGGTTACTGAATGAATGATTTCAACTATCGAATGGTTTCATTCGTATAAAATCATTCATTCATTTGTATACCAAAGCATATGTGACAACCTCGCCGTGCGACTAAATGGTTATCGTTAAGCCGTTAAGCCACGACTATCGAATGCTTTTGATAAATGAAATTTAGTATTCGTTTGATTTTTGTGTGCGTCAGTGCATTATTAGTTCTTCCAAATTTTTATAACTTGCCTTCTAAATACTGTGCTATTTTTGCGTTTATTAAAATATTTAAAATACTAAAGTAGTAGTGTTTTTTTTTAAATTGACGATTCTGTGCGTGTGCAGGTGGTCAAAATTTTTCCGAAAATTTGTGTAATTTTCCGATCTTTCAATTATTTAATTTTATACGGTATATGGTCTATTTTTTAATGGAAAATTTTGAAAGTAACATTTTTCAGAGAGATGAGGTTGAACTTTCACAATTAATTTTAAAATACATATGTATTTATATTTTAGATGTTTTAGTAATATGAATTAGTTGAACTTAATAATCATATTTAAAGTAATGTGATAATGTGGTTATCAGTAAGTAAAAGAAGTAAATGGTTATCGAGAGACAAATTTTGGGATGAGAAAATTAAATTGATTGATTAAAGTTTACACGTGCCAATTTAAAAAAAAGTTAACGATATTTGTATTTTGTTTATGCTAGGTAATTCTCTTACATGTAGATTTTTGCGAAGAAATATTTCATTTATTTTTTAAAGTAAATGCCAGTAAAAACAAATACTATTTTTAAATACTAATACAAAGTAATAAAATGTAATACACATATATAATTTTGATTTCCAATTTTTTATTTATATTTTTCTTCTATTACACAGAAAATTAATAAATATGTTTATATTTCATGATTTTAAAATTTGTTGTTAATATAACAAATTAGTTCTGTAATTATTATTATTTAATAAACCAACGTTGCGACAAAAAATTTAGAGACTATATTATTTTTAAACAGGATCTAATATAAATAATTTTGACTTCTAATTTGTTGTTTATATTTTGTTACTACTTAAAAAAATGTTTATATTAAATGATTTTAAATTTTGGTGTTAATAGGTATAATAAATTATTACTGTTATTATTATTTATTAAACCAGTTTTGCTTAAAAACATTAAAAATCATTTTCCTACATCCAAAATAAAAAGTATTATTGAAGTGTAACAACAGAATATTAATAAAAATGCAAAATATATAGTCATACTATCCCTAACTAACTATAATACCAAAGAATAATATTCTTTGCTAATACCAACTAATACAGATATACGGCAACAGCGCCGTTCATAATGTATTTTTGTGTAAATACTAGCCCCTCAATAAAAAAATAATGTGTCCCTTATCTTTATCTGACTCAAAATCAAAGATGCCGGCTTTTTCCTTACCATTTACCACCGACCGCCGACCGCTGTCGGGTTTTCTAGAAAGAAACTTACGTCCGGGCGACAACTAAAATCCAGTTTATATTTCACTATAATCGATCCTGACGAATAAATGAATTTTACAAATTAATGGATTTTATAAATGAATGGTTTTTGCTGCCGAATTAATATATTTCAAGGCAGATGACGCATCTACTCGATATTTTTATTCGAATAGTTTTCGACGAATGTTTTCTTACTAGCTATCGAATTATTCGAATGAATATACATTCAATAGTTCCCACTACTAGTAATTAACTTCCCTCCTAAACATTCTACATTCTAAGAGGCCAACTGGCAGTAAGTAAATGACGGCTGAAGCTTGACCTCGCCAAAATTATCATCGATGGTCATACCCCAGCCGTTTTGGGGCTTAAGAACTAATTATCTACATATATAAAATGCTAATGTTTATCTGTGTCGACTCTACTGAGGTAACGACTTGCTCTAGAAAGTTGCTTTTTTACTAAAAGATAGCTAATTGGCTCTTCTAAAAACTGTCGTCGCCGGATTTTTTGTTTTTCATTTAATTAAAACAAAAAATATAAAGTTTTTTTTTCCTGATGTCGTGGCGGATGCGCCAGGCTTCAACTAGTTAAAAATAAATCGATTAATAATCAGCTCTAAATTATTAAGCTTAAAAATAAAAAATTGTAAAAAGCAATATTAAACACAACCCACTTAACTAAAACTTTAAACTCTCAATGATATTCTGTTTTTGTCGAGGTTTTTGCAAAGTCAAAGTTTCCAGCTTCAACTGGATTCTTTTGTTTGTTGACAAATAATATTTGTAAATATCAGTAATAACACACACGAGTCGCCGCTGGTAAATAGAGAAAAATTTGGTTAAGCAACAAAGAGGAAATATCCTCTCAATCAAGTATAAAATTTTTGATTTGATGTATCATTAATGTTATTTTTGTATTAATTATTTTCAGATCGTTCTTACTGTTTTCATTGATAGTGGTCGTTTTTTCAAGTGTTTATCATGTACTGACATCAAGAGATCGTTACAAACATCTCCAATTGAAAGGTAATATTTTCTGATAAAATCTAAACATATTATAGGTATAAAAACAAACATTAAAACTTCCTGATGTATATCAATCTATCTTAAAATATTTTGTAAGCATTTTTACTCGATTTCATTGATGACTTTTGTTAATTAATTAGTTTATTAAATATTGCATATAAGTGGCGATAGTAAGATAACTTAAAAACATTAATAAATTTTACAAGTGCATGTGTGTGCAAAATGCAATTTAACTAACCATTTTTATAAAAATATTTTAAGTGGCTTTACATATTTGAAATTAGATCACTTTAAATTTTTGACATCATTATTTTAAAGTAGTCTGTTACAATTTGTTTTTTAACTAATTATTAGATTTATAAATCTGGACTAAATAGTTAAAAAAATGCCTATACAGGGTGTCGAAATATTGCGTGGACATAGAACTACGCATTTCAGGAGTTAAAATGAGTTCATTGGACACCAATTTATCTCTATACAAAACTGCTTCATTATTTTTGTCCGTTAGAGGGCATCAAATTTTTAAAAAAATAACACATTGTTTAAGATATTTTAAGAACCGTTATTTCGATTTGAATGAGATTTGGGGTGTCTATGTTATGCTAAACGCTTTAATACAGGGTGGCGCCTCTCACACGCCGCGGAGGCTCCAAGGAGAACGACAGTTTGTATTGAAATGAAATTTTGTGAGCATGTGTAGGTTAATTCAAAGCACTTTTTAAAAATATAGAGAGTTCTACAGGGTGTCCCCCAAAAAAGTTACATATCAAAGTTGTGTTTTTTTTTGTAAATATATATTAATTAATTTTCGGATTCTGGGAGAAAATAAAGGTGAGTTTTATAAGAGAAGTATATGACTAAAATAAAGTTTTTGACATATTTAAAATTTTCTAGAAATAATGAAAAAATAATTAAATTACAATAAAAGCTACCTAAACTGGAATTTACACGGTATAGCCTAATATGTAGTTAAATTAACTATTGTACTTTAAATCAAATTAAAACTTGTTCCAAAAAGTTATATAGGGTGAGACAAAATTAATATTGAACATTGGTCACTTTTAAAAGCATGTAACTTTTTTATTTTAAATGAAACACCCAGTATATTATTCCGATATTCAATGGAGAATTCATGTCTTTTCAAAATATTATTAAGGTTGCCTTTTTTCTTAGAAACCCACTTTTTTTTATTTTACTAATAAAACGGTTTTTCAATTCGTTACTTTTTAACTAAACATGTTCCTATACCTAAAATAAATCGTTTTTAAGTTTTTTAAGATTGAGTTTGAAAACCTATATTTTTCTTGGTTTTATCTAGCTTCCTTTGACATTAAGTGTCAAACGGTCAGACAATTTATTTCCATCAGACAGAAAATTAATTATTTGAATTTCCTATAGTATAAACACTGCTTGCCTTAAGGGTTTAAAAACTGTATTTATAAAAATATATCTCGTATTTTCGCTCTTTAGTGATATCTAATAGTTGAAAATGACGCGGCTTTTTGAACAAAGCGTCACAATATGACATGGCCATATCTATTGTTTTACCTCACTTGACGTTTAAAGTCATAGACTACTAGTTAAAATCAAGAAAAATATACGCTTTAAAACTAAATCTTAAATAACTCAAAATCGATTTATTTTAGGTATAAGAACATGTATAGTTAAAAAGTAACGAATTGAAAAGTCTTTTCACTAGTGAAATAAAAAAAGTGGGTTTCCATTTGAAAAAAATAATTTATGATAATTTTTTAATCGCTCAATTCTATGACAGCTGCGGCCTTTATTATATGACATTCGAACAATTTAATTTTTGAAATAGATAGCCACATGTTTTCTCTTTATGGCACAGTGGCTGTGGTAATCACTAGATTTGACGTTTAGGCTATACACATATTTTTGACAGGCAGTTTTTTTCATTCAAAAATTTTAAATATTTTTTTTCTCAAAAACGGTTAATGTTAGATATGTTTAATATCAAAATTTATAAAATTATACAGAGAATTTAAGTACCTAATAAAAAATGTGGGCACCCATTTAAAATAAGAAAGTTGCTGTCAACTTCCGGTTATTTCCGGAAGTGCTGCCATATTGAAAATATTTTTAATCGATAGATCTCGTTGTGAAACTATGATATGCAAAAAATCTCCGAGCTAGATGTTGTAGTTCTCTAGAAACTTGTAATGCACGCTCAGCCTGGGACACCCTATATATTTTTATAAAATGCTTTCAGTTAACCTATATATGCTGCCAAAATTTAATTTCGATATAAACTACCGTTCTCCTTGGAGTTTCCGCGGCGTATGAGAGGCGCTACCCTATATTTGACTTTCACAAAAATTAAGAAAAAGTACGAGAAAGGTTTAAACTACCCCGACCCCGAAAAACTAACCCGCTTACGACTGATTTTTTTCCTGTAAAATGATCCTTCTAGTATTTACTACCTTTTTTGTGTCTTGAAAAAATCGCAACATCGCATAGTTTTTGAGAAAATTTTTAGGAACTTTTTTTCCAAAGCAGAGTTACTTCGTTTGTCCGTTAGAGGACACCAATCAAAAATAAACCTGAATGTTAATTAATTTAAAATTTAAGCTTACTAAGCTTACTATATAGCTGTCAAATATCATTTGTGATACTAACACAAAATGTCATATTTTTGCCAACTAGATTATTATCGCATACTAGATTTTATACGCATACATGAGACAAGACACAAAAAATAAAGTAAATATTAGAATGACTATTTGACGAAAAAAAAATCTGCCGTCGGTAGAGTTGGAAAATAGTTCTACTAAAATTTATGTAGGGGTAAGGGTATTTTAGGGTGTTTTTACCCCTCCTGTACTTCTGGATTTTTATGTCATATATTTAGACACAAAAAATAAAGTAAATATTAGAATGACTATTTTACGAAAAAAAAATCTGCCGTCGGTAGAGTTGGAAAATAGTTCTACTAAAATTTATGTAGGGGTAAGGGTATTTTAGGGTGTTTTTACCCCTCCTGTACTTCTGGATTTTTATGTCATATATTTAGGCACCCAGCAAAACATAGACACCTAAAATGTCCATTCAAATCGGAATAAACGGTTCTTAAAATATCTTAAAAAATGTATTTTTTTAAGTTTGATGCCCTCTAACGAACAAACGAAGCACTTTTGTATAGAGCTAAAAGAAGTTATTTTGATTTGAAATATACGTAGTAGTTCTATGTTTATGAAATATTGGGACACCCTGTATAACAAATTATACTGTTTAAGAATAGTGTGTATTCTTCTAAGACAATTTTTTTTAGGAAAAGGACACAACGTAATATTATGTTTCTCTTTCTGCTCAAATTACAAGAAATTTATTTCAAATAATCAAAACACAGATGGTCTGGATTGTTTGGCTGGCATGAAAGTATTTTCTATGTTTATGATCATAGTCTTGCACAGAATAATGTTTGATTTTGGATCCCCTATGTTAAATCCTGAATACGTAGAAGAAGTAAGATCCGTTATTTTAAATTAATTATATCAAACAAAAATGGTGTTTCTAGCTGTACACGAAATTCGAAACTATTTTGTTGTTGAATGGACCTATTTTAGTCGAAACATTTTTTACCATATCAGGATTTCTGGCAACATTTCTTATCTTGGGACAACTAAAGAAAAACAATAAGACTAATTTAGCCGTCTTTTACATTCATAGATTTGTAAGGTAACAAAAATACATTATTTTAAACTAAAGTCAGTCCAGCGAGTCAGGGAAGAGTTCGACAGACGAAATACGAAAAATGACAGACACAGTTTTCACTATCATGTTTCCTCTCGTTGGAATAGCTTTAATGAAAAATAGTAACTATGACACATTGACTTTTGCAGCTAAATTTACAAATATCTTTTTGTTGAAGGGTTTTGCCGACATACGCTGTGGTCATCGCATTTTATTGCACCCTATTTATAAAACTAGGCTCTGGGCCACTTTGGCAACACAGAGTTGGCGTGGAACAAGAAAGATGTACTACAAGCTGGTGGGCCAACTTACTATTTATCAATAATTATGTGAATACGGATAAAATTGTAAGTAACCATAAACACTAGGTGGAACGTAAAATTATAATCAAAACATATAGCAGATGCTTTTAAATTTTATTGATTAATATTTTTCACACTAAATGTTGTATAATAATTATAATTTCTATATTTAACCAAAAAATCCTATATGGGTATTTAGCCACTGCAAGAAAATCTACAAAATAAAATAGTTATTTTTTGTAAACACTTCTGGCGTTAATGGTTAATCCCAAACGGAAACTACTTGTCAGAAGTCAGGTTTACAGATATAACAAAAATATACCGTGCTTGCAACTGTTACTTTTGGGTCGGTATTTACATGTGTGGAAGTAAATCGTATAGGGATCTTATTAAGTCGGAGTGAGAGAAATGCGACGATGTGCTGTTGCGGCGTTGCCGGTACGCCTTTCCTTATCAAGTAAAGTAAAATCACGATGGCAAACCGCTTACCTATCTTTAAAAGATTTTTTTTTTCGAAAATATAACTAGATAAAATCATTAGATATATTTCTGAGCATCTTAAATGGAATTATAAGGATATTGTTAGGGTGTCCATTTTTTTATAACGAGAAAACGTCAGTAATCGCGATAATTTAAAAATTCAACTTTTTAACACATAACACGCCATAACTTACGAACCATTTTAGATACTGAAACTTTTATTTTGAATATCGGATCTTTTACAATATGGTTAAGTAAGGTTATTTTTTTCCATTCAATAATTTTAAATAACCCATCCATTTACTTTTAGTGCATAGCAATTTTCAGCAACCGTTTAACTTTTTTTATTTATAAACATTTTCACATACTGTCTGCGAAGCAAATATATTATTTCTAATAGATTTCGAGATATCGATTTTTGAGTTCAGAGTTCTAATAGCGCGACCATTGTCGAACACCAACACAATTCCACTTATTTTTACCAAAAATGCAAGTGTCTCTAACTTGCACTTAACATTTTTCAAGCTATAGGGAAAATTACAACGACTCGTTAATAAATAAACAAATAAAGTATCACGAGACGTACTTAATTAAATCGTGAAGCTGAACGCATGATGGTCCGACTGGTCGACTGCGAAAAATCTGCTTATCCCCTTCCACGTCTCTTAGCAATGTGCACAGTTTCTCGGTTTATTTCATACGCTTGCCAACGTGTTTACTGTTCTCTCTTTGTTCGGTAAATTATAAACGCATTGTACTCTTCTTACTAACAACTTACAAGACTAACCTTTGCCAGCCCTTAGTATATATTATTGCTAACTTCTGAGAAGTAGTTTCCGTTTGGGATTAACGCAGAAGTGTTGTGACAAAAAATATCTATTTTATTTTGTAGATTTTCTTGCAGTGGCCAAATACCTATATAGGATTTTTTGGAGAGATGACTCCGCCACATAGGTATAGATATTTTTTTCTAATATAGAACATCATCTGTAATACCGGATCTTTCAAATTCAGTTCTCGGTATTCTATTCTTCACTATTTTGTGAGTCGTTATTCAATTCTAACAGATTAACAAAATCAAAATCTGCTCTCATTAAAACTTATATTCTAGAACTATTATACTAAATTTTGAAATTTTAACAAATAATCTACTTATAATCGAATTCTGAACCAATTTTTCTTATTTATGTCACCCAAAACCACACATTACATATTTTGTAATTTGTAATTATTGCTATTAGGTATTCTGAATATTCTGCATTGAATCCGCATAAACTCTTTCATTTGAATTCAATAATATTTTTTGATTTTATAAGTTATTTTATTATTTTAGTGTATGTTCCAATCTTGGTTTATAACATGCGATATGAATTTCTTTATTTTCTCACCAGTTCTTACCTGGTTTTTATGGCAAAAACCAAAATTAGGATTAACTTTAGTGTTTTCGTTAATAATTTCCTCAATAATAGTAGTATTTACAAAAGTATATATTGACAATTTGGATGCAATGTATATGATTTACTTAAAGTAAGTTTATTAAATACTTTGATAGTTATCATTGACTAATATATTCTATTTTTAGAGCATTAAAAGATCCAGTGTCTCATGATACATTCAAGACTTTATACATTCCAGGTCATATGAGGGCCAGCTCCTATTTTATTGGAACTTTGGCTGGATATTATAAATTTCAAATAAAAGAAAACGACCACAAAATATCAAGAAATTATGTAAAAATTGGTAAAGTAAATACCATACAATCGAAAAAAAATTGTTCTGAAAGGGCTTGGAAATGAAGATCCCCTCATTTTGTCTGTAAATTATATGGGGAATATCATCTATCGTCATTTCCAGGTCAACTGGACACCGTTTTTTTTCGATCATGCGGCACTATTAATTTGTTGCATGTAGAATGAATTAATCACCGCGATCTTACAGATCTATTGTGTGTTCCCCCTTGAGTTATAACGAGTTATAACTCATTATTCAGCCTCGGAGCTTTGACAAAAGCTAGTATCTGAGACGGTTCCACAGAGGCCAGCTCTCCATCTCCGATATCAGTCGTACCACAGTTTATTGTATCAACAGTTGTCGTCTCGGCCCCGGCGCACTCAGTGATGAGTGCTCTGGTGTTTCCCCACAAAATCTGCATTTGTTGTTATTTCTCAGCTTCACTCTACTGAGGTGTTCATTGAGACAGTGTCTTATTAGAAACCTCGTAACAATCCGAAAATTGTTGTTTTTAAATCAAGAAAATTCTTTGATTTTTCTCGAGTGTGTTAGATCATTGGAGGATTCACATTCCAGGTTACGGATGGAGGCTTCCAGGTTCTTAAGTTCCGCTTAAAGCTTATGTTTCTACTTGGAAAGCAGAACTGGTTCTGGTTCAGCTAGTGGAGTGTTCGCTCCTTTGCTAGCTAGGTCCTTTGCGTTGCCTTCAATCCCTTGGTGAGCTCAGAGTAGAACTTTATTTTCTTGTTCAACTTCTCTAGGTATTCTTTGACCAACTTCGAATTGATGGTTACTGAGTTGATTGTACTGCTTGACTATAGGATAAGATGGCTATTTCCTGTTTTTGATAGTTCCTGAAGGATGCTAGGTAGGTGCCCATTGTTCTTGGAGTATTTAGTTCAGGGCCTAAATACTCTTATCCCTATCCCTGCTTTGGTTTTGGAAGCATCAGTATACCACGTTATGGTATAGTCTTTTACATACCGAACAAACGTTTCTCTCTTCCAATTCTTTCTATTGCTCAATACTACAGTAAAGTTTTTCTTAAAGTTTTATATTCTTGGTATGTTATCAACTGGGAGTTGGATTCGTTTTGAGTATATTCCAAGCCCCTGACCTGAAAATTATCCCAGTACAGTTTTCGTCAATGACCATTCTAATCATTGTCGCATTGGCATATCTACTGACGACAATGTGCAGTCGTGTTAGGTCCAGAATGGTGCATGTTTATTAATTTAGTATTAAATATGATATAGGCTCGACAAACGAATGTAAAGTTCAATTTATAATATCGATTGGAGATTGGAGTAGTTAACGCTTTTTACAAAAATAATTTTATTTCAAAAACAATTTGTTATTATTAGCTAAAATAGACGTTATTGTGTTTACGTTATCACTAAAAGATACAAAAGATAATAAGTATGTTTATTATGATGTGTGTAACTGGGTATTATTGTCAAAAGTAATCGTATATACGACACTTAAATAGCCTTCCTTAAAGAGATCTAAGAGGGCTTGCACACCCACCCTCAAAATCGGTGCCGGTGTCGGCGCTGGCTTTGCTCACGTTCCGACAGTTGTATTTAATTCTATTGAATTTGCCGGTCCACGATGATTTTACCGGACTGGAATATACAGGGTTGTTCACCACATACGACACAGAGCATGGTAGCTAAACGATTAGATTTTTACAAATTGTAAGTTTTAGGACTACAATTTAAAAATATTTAGAACTACAATTTAAAAATATTTTTACAAGATACAGAGTGTCCCAAATAAATAAAAAATATTAAAGTTGTATTTTTGTAAATGGAACACCCTGTATATTATTACATTTTTAGTTTCTACGATTAAAATAAAGGTAAATTTGATTAAGATTTATTACACTTAAACCTTTTAAAACTGTTTTTGAAATATTTTAAATTTTGTGAAATTGTAGTAAAAATGTTAAAGCTTCATTTCTCCAAGGGTATCAAAGCTTTTAATACTAAATATTTACCAAGGGTATCGAAGCTTTACTAAATATAAAATATTAAGTTTATTTATTGATCAGTTATTGTGTTGCAATAATAAAAATAATACTACCTCATACAGAGTGTCATACTACCTCATACAAATTATTTTTATATACTTTCTAGCTTTAAGCGGCAATAACTTGTTTAATTTAAATGGAACACCCTGTATATTTTATGAGAATCAGATGCACAATTTAATTGTCTATCACATTGCATTATACCATTTTTTACCTATCCCTTCAAGTTTCAGTAGAAAATGCATTTCCTTATAATTTAGACCTCATTTATCAATATACCCTTGGAATATTGACATTTTAGATTGTTTTTAAAGCAATAAATGTTCAAAATGTACAGCTGTTAAAAACGAGAATATTACTAGCTCATTTGTATACGAAAAGAAAACTATTTAAATATTTATAAAAGAGTAAACCATTAATTAAATATACCACATTATTTCCGACCAAATATTAATCAATTACATACTTAATTGTGAATACATTATTCTAAATAAATGGGATTTGAATCAGAAATTAATATAATGATAAGTTATGAAAATGAACGTCTCTGTTGTTACAAATAAGAATTCGTCAAAAAATGAAATAACATTTTTAAGTTTTACTTTTTACTTTTTTACTACACTGTCCAATACACATAAAAATTCTAAAAAAGTTTTTTAGTATTTGGAGCAATGATTATTAATCAACGCAAACAGGCAATTAATGTAGTTTGAATACTGGAATCATATTAATTGGTGCTCTTTAACAACTATTAAAACAGTTTTTTTTTAATTTTCGATTCTGATTTAAGTCTTTTATAAAAAGACAAATCTATTTAATGATTAATGTAAAAAAAAGTAAATCTTTCAAAATATTTAAGCTTTTTTTGATGACTTAATAGCTTTTTAACTTTTTATATTTTGGAATAAAGATTTAAATCACAAATCATTTTGAAAATTACTTAAATATTAAGCATTAAGTGAGCTTTCGATAAATGACTTAAAATCAAATGGCTTAAGTCATTAAAATGATTTAGATCTTTAAGACTTAATATTTTCAAATCTTAATCGACTTTGTTGTATTTTTAGTTTTTAGTTTCAATGTTTATGTGTTAATCATCTTATTTAGTCAGTTTTGATTTTTAGGATGGATATTTTCAATCCCAACAATGATCATTTCCTTGGCCACCGGTTATATATTTTATTTATACGACGTGCATCAGTTATTAACAGCTCTGTATGCAGCTCTATATCATCCATTGTGGAGCATTTGTATAGCGTGGATAATAATTGTATTATCGTTAGGTCACGAACGTAAGTTTTAAAAATATTTATTCTTTCCTTCTCGATAATTACTATCGTATTGTTATTTTAGCTTTAATCAATTCATTTCTAAGTTGGAGACCTTTAACAATTTTAGCGAAATTGTCATTTTGCGTGTATATTTCACACGGAATTATACAGATGTACACTGCAGGAAGCATTAGAACACCTACACATGTTTCTATATTCAATTTGGTACGTTGTTCGTATCTATAGTACTTTTTATAGTTTATTGATTTTGTAATTGTTGTTTTAGGGTTATAAAACTGTCGCTGATATAGTTTTAGGATATACTCTGGCTTTTATATTAAGTATGGTATACGAATCTCCTGTAATCGCATTAGAAAAACTCCTTTTACAAAAAGGTACTTACATACTTCCTTTATAGATCTAATACCTATTTTGAAAAAAAATGCTTTGACACAATTTTAGATATTATGAATGTATTATTATATAGGTATTATATATATGTATAAAGCGGTGCTAGAAATTCGGAATACGAGCATTATTTATATTATTCCGCAATAAGTAAAATATGAATTGTAAACAATAGCTTTATTGTAAAGGATTATGCTAACCCTATTAAGAAATTCAATCGAGAGTTTTTTGACACTATCATGTTATCATCTGATAATTACTCACATGATTATACGAAATAGCATTTGGAATATGCTGAAATTTCTACATTTTACAAAATTTTAACGTTAAAGAATATACAATGGGCCTTATACAGGGTGTCCCAGAAATAAGTGCAAGTATTTTAACGGGTAGTATAGTTTAACCCCAGATTCACGCTTATGAGTTTTTTCCGAAAATTTTTTTTTGAAAATTCGAAATTTTTGAAAAATTTTTGGATTTTTTTTAGTTTTTAGTTTAAAAATATAATTTCTTAATAATATGGCAACATAGGTATTAGATTGAATTTACAAGAAAGAAAATCTAGTAAAGATCCAGTGGTTCTCAAAATTTTAGCAAAAAAATAATTTTTGGAAGTTTTCAAAGTAAAATAACTCCGTTATTTTGGTCTTATTTGCAAAACGATAAAGAGAAATTATGTTTCTTTTATCGAGATCTACCACCCCTTAAAATACTTGCACTTATTCCTGGGACACCCTGTATATACATATTTTTATAATAATAATTTTTTAAAGAAATATTTAAACAAATTCTGTTTGTTATTTTAGGATCAATGCCACCAAAAAAAGAAAATACAGAGAAGCAGAATAATAATATAGACTTATCAACAGAAATAGTGACGGAAATTCTGTGATTTTAAGGAAAAGTCTCTTATTGGCTGAAGCTGAATTAACTTCAACGGAGTAATAATAGAAATAGACATCTATCCCTATTAAACCTTTGTTATACTTAAAAACACAACTTAAACAAACCACAAAAGTATTAGTGTTATTGACATTGTAATTTTATCTGATTCCTTATTTTCATAAGTCTAAATAATGTATCTCACAGTAACAGTATTTTTATATAAATAGTATAATTCTCTATACACATAAATACACACAGTTAATATATTGTTATACACATCAGTGTGTAGTGAACTAAGATCGAGATGGTTAGGTTCAATGTAATTCTAAATAATAACGTTAAACTGGTAAGATTTATGTTGTTAAATTCCTTATTTTTTGCCCATACATTTTTAACTTATTCCTTCTACGAAACACCAGAATATTAATTATCTAAGTATTATCCTATATAAATGTTACCAGTGATATTACTCTGATATTATCTTATACAGTATAGTTGTGGCGAGAATATTGAAGTTCTTATGCCGGGGTTTTTACTCAGATCCTTAAGGTGCGTATTCAGTATCCGAACGAACGAATGTTCGCTAGTGGTATGGACTGGGTATGGACGGGGACCGTACGATAGAACCGCACGAGAAGACTGGACGCGAACGCCTTTGATGTACCGACTCGAAACGGATGGTTTGGAACGAACGAACGAACGGCCGCATGCGTTCGGTCCCCCTCTAAATATACCGCACTTTCATTCGTTCTGGTGGGCGTTCGGATCTCCTCCGATCACCTTTATTAGACTACTCATAGTGCTCATATTCGCACTCAAAGGCCGGATGAGATCGGATATCTTGTGAGTCAATTTAGACACTGTTAAACAAACTGATGCTTCCAAAACGTTTGGAAGCATCAGTATATCACATTATGATATGGTCTTTTACCTGGTGGGCAAACGTCTCTCCTCCGATACTTTTTATTGTTGAATACTATAGTGAGATATTTCTCAAAGTTATCCTCAGACATATCATTGCCAATGGCCTACCGACTTGGCGAGTGTCTAAATCGACTCACGAGATATCCGATCTCATCCGGTTTGTTTTTGGTCGGTTTCCTATTGGTCGAAAATACTGTCGCGGCGACAGAACGAAGCTCTGAGAACGCGGCTTTACAGTAATACAATAATACAAAACATAAACCAAACCACAGACAAAAATAAAATATAACTGGAAATAAGTTAATGAAATAAAACAAATATAAAACGCAACAATAATGTATCTAGTAAAAGTAAATTTCAAAAATATTAATTTTTATTGGGAAACGCCAACAGAAGCTTCTTTTTATTTTGGGAAAATCTATTAATAAATTTTTTAATAAACTCTTCTTTATTATTGGTAACACATTTTCTATGTACCCTGAGCATACAAAGCCCTGTGAGGCGTTCCTCAGACATTGTGGACCTTAGCCAGATTTTCACACGTCAAAGTGCTGAAGGACCTCTCAATATTAATCGTTGTTGGAGGTAAAGACAAAAAAATTTGGATAGCTTTTTTAATATTTGGAAAAAATTCGCATTGATTATTTAAAAATTCTACCAATTAAAAAGATAGGTTTTATTTTTACTGTCTGGCCACCCCCTTGTATGTAAGGTCGCTGTGATTAACCCCCCATCGTCTCTCAAAATTTCTCGTAAACAAAGTAGGCCCCGTCCAGATTAGCCTTAGCAGCAAAAAGGGGACGTAAACTTAAAACCCTTTTTTTAATATTCTCCAAAAAGAGACTAGATTACAGACATATCTAAAGATTACAAACATATATCGAAAGCAATTTTCTCAATAAAACAGTCGATATTTGACTAAAATAACATTGTTTTATAATTACTCACTTTAACGATAATTTTGTCTAATATCTTAGAATCTATTATTCTACTAGATATCAAACTTGCCTGAAATGCTTTTTGATTAAGTCAATATCGTTCATGGATCATTCTGTGTCTTATAAATAAGTTTCGAAAAATTTTAGAATCTTCATTTAGATGGTATAACCAATTTATGATGTTTTTCTTAAGATTAAACTGCACATTTCAATTTTGCACAAAAATTATAAACTTGACCTTAAGAAAAGTTATTCAATATCAGATCAAAATTGTATCAACATTATGTCATACGACTTTTGACTCAAAAACAACTAATAAAACAAGACATGTATTTGGTAAAGGCTAGCATATTGTGTTGAATTTCTGACAAAATATACCGAAAAATCAAAACAGACAATAGAAATAAAAACACGAGATTAAAAAAATCAGTTAAATAAGTTTTGCTTTTGATAAACATGTGATAAGAGTAATTAGAAATTAATCACTTCTAAGCAAGGTTTTTTAAGCGAATAGAAAAAATAAGGTTAGTTAAAATGAGCAATAATTAGTTTGTAAACAAGCATTGATATAACAACAAACTCTTAATTATTTATAGTAGTGTCATAGGCGATAAGAACGAATAAGCGAACGAATCAATGAAAGGATAAAAACGTGCGACAATATTGCCTGGTACTGTTCCATAAAGTCACTAGTCTGTGTATTGAGCGTATATAGTGCGTCTTTGAACGGCATTGTTTTTAATAATACCAATTTCGAGACGACCGACGATACACTATCATTCGTATCCATAAAAATAATTCAGCCACAAGTACCTTCTATTATCTTCTCTGTCATTATCGTATTGAATGGCGGGGTTACTTAAAGCAAATTTTAGTACGAGTGGTTATTTTTTAAGGCCTTTGATTTGGAGAAAACATTCCAATACGAACCTTCGCTCGAATCGGCACAGTTGCGACCAGAACGGGTTGTCTTTGATCGAAAAACTCATGTGCACCGACAAATCAAACAAATTGGTCATCGATGAAATCGCTACGGAAGAAATTCAAGTTAAAGGCGTCGATTCGTTGAAACTGCCAAAGGGATGGATGAAGCAGAAAGCTTTTCTCAGCACACTGGATATCTTCATCTCCTTGTTTATAGTTACGCCTTTGGTGGTAGCTTGCTGGAGAGGCACATGGCAGCTGATGGACATCTACGCTTATTACTTTCCACCATGGGAGAGTTTTGTGGTTGGTAAGTCTTCTATAACACTTACACAAAATATCACAAACCCAAACAAACGTTATCGTTTTATGTTAGTAAACAATCTTATTCTACTTTAACTGGAAGCTTTAATTTAATTAAACACGCATACAGTTGCCTAGTAAAAACATTTAAGGTACCTCGAAAGCGTCAACTGTTTCTCATCAAAAAATCTTACTGCTAATACGATTCTAGAAAGTAAGTCAGTTTTATTAATAAATAATGACTTTAGATATTATAATCTAGCATTACTCTAAATTTTATCAATAAAGATTACTATACAAAACATAATTCTGTCTCCGTCCATTACTATAGATATATAAATGAGACTGTTGTTGATATAAATTTCGATGAATTAATTAAACTATACATGAATTAATTAAAAATGGATATCACTCAAAACAAATCTTTTTATTTCCTTGTTGACCAATGAATTCGCTGCAAAATCGGTTTAGATAAAGTTTAAAATATTTTAAGTGTTTACTTTGAAGTGTGTTGTCGCTACCAATTAAATATTAAAATTACAAAAAAAATGATCATCTTGAACTTAGTTTAAATACAATCATTATATTTGCTTAAGAAGCATGATACTGTCAATAAAGTCTACATTTTGAATATAAGGAAATCAAAAGCATATCAGATGTAGATATATCAATAAGAAAAAAACAGAGTTGAGTGTTGATTTCCTCTTATGTCAATATAATATCAATTGAAAATATACGTTTTCAGTACCTATGGCATAAAACTAGTTTCAAATATATTTTCGACATCTTCTTTTGTATACTAACTAGTTTGCAGCAGCGAGAGTTTGCGATTAGATAATTTATTTAAATGCATCAAACTATATCTACCTTAGTAACAATATAAAGATAGTTTTATTAAAGGATGAGTATCCCAGCTTCTTAACATTATAGTTTTGTTTTACTGATGGTGGTTTGCACCGACGAATTTAAGGGAGTTTTAAATTAAGTGGAGCTTTGAATATGACAAGCAAATTTAAAAAGTCACAAATGAAGTCACATTCAAAGCTACACTTAATTTAAGACTCCCTTAAATTTGTCGGTGCAAACCACCATGAATCATTCAAAAGCCAAAAATACGATTTGAACAGGAGCGTCGGCTTTTATAAAACTTCGTGAGTGCGCAAAAGAGATATGGGTAAATGTAACAAATTTCCAGATTGTTACATTTGTTGCATTTATTACCACTTTTTTACATATGTAACATTCCGGGTGCGTCTCAAAAGTAAGATAAAACAACGAGATTTGGTATGTTAGTATATTAACTATATGACATAAATTGGGATTGATTGACGTATTCGATTGTTTTCGGTCACTTTCGGTTTCACCGGAAATTACTACAATTTTTCATTTTTAAATGCCACCCTCGGTATTTTTTTTACTTTATTCGATAGAAAATGACATTCTGAATCGAATGACATATCGTATGTCAATTTTTGACATAGTCACTCAAAAACAAATTCTATTTTAAATTTCAATCTCGAGTGCGATGGCTGTGTTAAAAACACTAATTTTTAATCAAGGAACCTTGGAAAAAATAGATTTGATCGTCTAATGTTTTAGTGTCTTGTCCTAGCCGCGTTAAAAGATGCCCAAATCGTATTTTTAATCATATCTCAATTTTTTCAAAAGGAACGAGGTTGGCTCATTAGTATATTTGGAAAAAGCATTTTTTTACGAATAATTTGATATCACACATTTGGTATTTTGAGTTAAATAGTCGTTATGAACCGCATGTTACAATTCCAAATAAACCATATGCCAAAATGTCAAAAGTTGACATACGATATGTCATTCGATTCAGAGTATCATTTTCTATCGAATAAAATAAAAAAATACCGAGGGTGCCATTTAAAAATCAAAAGTTGTAATCATTTCCGGTGAAACCTTACTTACGGAAGTGACCGAAAACAATTGAATACGTCAATCAATCCCAATTTATGTCATATACTAACATACCAAATATCGTTTTTTTATCTGAAAAAATAAAAAAGTTATAGGGGTGAGCCACTTTTGAGAAGCACCCGGCGGTATATAACAAAATTAGGAAAATACCATATCAATTTATACCAATTTTGCAATTCTATTGAGTGTAATAATTTGAGTTATGCAGAAATAAAATTTACAGTACAGATACCAATTTGTGAAAACATTAATTATACCCATTACAATCGGGTAATGGCAGGTAGTAAAACAGACAGATACTGTATTTTATATAGAGATACCAAATGAATGAAGCTAAAAATTGCTGAGAAGAGCTACGAGTGGAAGGATATTGGGCAGCTTAGGGTTTCAATTGGAAAATATATCCATCAAAACTAAAAATTCTCAAAAATGAATACAATATCAACATACACAACGAGCTTTCAAATCACAGGGCACATTTCAAAGACATAGCCAGCTAAAATAATTGTCAGTTTGTCAATAACAAACAGAAAATAAAATACTGTGTATACACGGTATTGCTAGAATTGACGAATTTCGTTTGATATAATAATAATAATAATAAGTAGTATATAGCCAAACATTTATTTGACGTCCCTAAAGTAGTTTAAAATTCGCTTGTATTTTAAAATAATTATAATGATTATATAAATATATAAACTCTCTAAACACTTTTAAAGACTCCACAGACGCTCAGTTATTTAAACAGGCGGTCTGTGCAGGCCAGTTCAACCTGCACACACATGCAATTTTATAGTACAGTTTTATCTACATGAAGTGAGTGACTCACTACAGCACATTTTTTCTAAGTGAAAATGGTTTTTCGAAATACAGTTCTTTCTTGCATTTTCGCTTGTGCTAAAATTGAAAAACAGGATTGGTTTAACAACAGGGTTTAACTACCTGGAATATACGAGAAAACTTAAATAGAACTATTGAAATTGATTTCTTTGAGAAACTACTATAGTATGATACTCATCTTGCACGAATTTTCTACAGTTTTTGACTTGTTTGTTTCTATAGTTGTTGCTTAAAGTTGCTAAACTGATTCATTTTGACCTTATGTTCTTGTGTTGTTATTGTTGTTGCATCCATTGTTTCCCTCGCGTGGGTGGAGCACACGGGTGGAGCACCCACGCAGTCGGCGCCCCTGGATTTGAACGTTCAGTATAACAACAAATGCATATAAAATAATATATAAATAAAATAAATAAATCCTCAAACTATATTTCGCATTATAAAATGATTTTATCTCTTCGTATGCAAGATATGATGGCATAAGCGGGAAGCAGCAAAATAAAAGTAATGTGATATAATCATTTAGAGATAAAACGCATGGGATGTTTATTGCCCTCGCTCACCAAGCCTTAAGCCCCATACTCACACTTCGCTCCTTCCTCGCCTTACTTCCTCGCGTTACTTCCTCGCGTTCCTTCGTCCCTTCGCTTCCTTTCTTCGTCTATTCGATGCTTGGAAATTAGTCAGTTATGCAACAACACACCACAAAATATTTTTAATATAGCAGCTACATGTTTAATACGAAATATCTAGTAACCTCTAAAATTTTTAAAAAATCCGAAAGGCGTATAATTTTTATTTTATAAAACTGCAATTCTTTGTCGTGTCAAAAATAAAAATTGAATTTTAATAATATATTTTTTTTTAATAAATCCGAATATTTCAGTATCATGTACAAGGTATATCAGTATGAATGTACAAGGCGAGTCAACAATAGAGTAAAGTTTATTATGTAATTTATATCGAAACCATAAAATATGACATACTAATTAAACGTTAATCATGTCAATCCCCATTTCTTCAGATATTTTTTTAAAGGCATCATGCACATTATTTCTATTTTTTTATTTTTGTCGCTACGATTACATAAATATGGACATGCATTTTTTCATAAATATGAAGACAATATTGTTTTTTTCTTCCATTTTTTAGACTATTGTGTGTGAATTATTTTTATATCGACTGGCGATTGTTAGATGTACAGGATGTCCCATTTGTGTGTGTTTTATGGGGTTGAGTTTTATGGGTGTTTTCTGGTTTATGAGTAGAGATATAAAGATGCTGTTTTCACATCATTGTTCTACTTATTATGAAACTAAATATGCTACATAAGAAATAAGAAATAACTTTGAACTAAGAAGGCTAGGATAAATATGTATTTATCCTAGCCTCTTAGTTCAAAAGTTATTCTTATTTCTTTCTTTTACTTTTTATTTTTTAATTAGTAGAAATTTTTGCATTTTTCGATAACCTTTGTATCTCGATTATCTTATAACTTATCGAAAATGTGAAAAGGGTCAGTGATGGGCGGTGGGTAAGTACCCAATTTGTAGATAAATAAAATCTGGGAAATCCTGTAGATTTAGATGAACATCCTAATTTTAATAAAAGGAGTTTTCGACGACGGCATAGTAAATACCCGGTATAATGACGGGAATAGAAATATACCAATATATAATATCTACAATATATATAAGAAATATATAATATACTCCATATTTATTTATTTAGGTACTGCTAAACTGCTAAACGGCTCTTATTTTCTTTAACTTAATTTTACCAGATAATTTTGCTTTGCATCGTGATATTTTGATAAACTACACGGAAACTGAACTTGTGCTGCTTTTAAATAACATGCCAATAACCAACATTTTACGTCGAATAAATTAGTTGATTATTTTGATTACCTAATTTAAACCGGCCGACTATGTAATAAAGTTAAATAACGCATTTTTACCCCGTTTATGAAAATAAGTATTTTAGAAAGCTCGTAACAAGGAAAATAAAATAATATACAAAATATCGTATTTAAAAAAACATATAAGTTTTAGTCAGTTTAAAAAGAGACATCAGAGTTACGTCACTGCATTCTACGTGAAAAACTGTACGGGAGACCGTTTTCACCTTTTCGATAAGTTATGATACAAAGGGGACCGAAAAATGCAATAATTTCAGATTCGCCCTGTATTTTAGGAAGTAAGAGAGCTAGGACATATCTCTATGTAGCATCTTTAGTTTCATAAAAAAGTAACAGCGTAATGTGAAAACCGTATCTTTGTATTTCGACTCATAAACGAGAAACCCTGCAAAACACACGAAAATGGGACACCCTGTACAGACGTACTGCCAAATCTAGAAATCAACTACGAATGAAATCCAAGATCGATTTAAATATTTTATATATTTTAATATTTTTTTGTGTTCGTGATAATTCCTTTGCTACTTCCTCCAAAAACCGACAGTACGTGGAAGGACCGTTTCGAGGAAGTAAACGGACGAAGTAGCGTTTTGACGAAGGAGGAAGGAACACACAGTCGCATAAAATCTACATTTTCCCATAGTAAATATATGATTTTTGAACGAAGGGACGCGAGGAAGTAACGCGAGGAAGGAGCAAAGTGTGAGTATGGGGCTTTAAAGTTTAAGCCTTAAACCTATAATATATTAGTTTTTGTCTATCTCCTATAGAAAACGGTGTTTCCATTTAAAAGCGTCGAATTTGACCCACCCTGTACATGATACTGAAATATTCGGATTTATTAAAAAAAATATATTATTAAAATTCAATTTTTATTTTTGACATGACAAAGAATTGCAGTTTTATAAAATAAAAATTATGCGCCTTTCGGATTTTTTAAAAATTTTAGAGATTACTAGATATTTCGTATTAAACATGTAGCTGCTATATTAAAAATATTTTGTGGTGTGTTGTTGCATAACTGACTAATTTTCAAGCATGGAATAGACGAAGGAAGGAAGCGAAGGGACGAAGGAACGCGAGGAAGTAACACGAGGAAGTAAGGCGAGGAAGGAGCGGAGTGTGAGTATGGGGCTTAGTCTCATATATCATCAAGTCAGAGATATTTTCTAATAAAAAACCTCAAAAATTAATTAAAAATATCCAGATTTATTGAAGGAACTAATCTATACATACCATATAATATATTGTATATAATTATTATTGCTTCATTAACTAGATTATTCATATTGAGTAAATACAAATATCTGTATATTTTTTCGGTTTGATTTTGTTACATATATTATCGTCTAATTTTTCACATGACAGATATTAATTTTATATACAATGAACTAAGTGACGCACTCACTTCAGTACATTTTTTCTAAGTGAAAATGGCTTCCCGAAATACAGTTCTTTCTTGCATTTTGCTCGCTTGTACAAAAATTGAAAAACAGGATTGGTTTGAGGACGAGAAAACTTAAATAGAACTATTGAAATTGATTTCTTCGAAAAACTACCACAGTGTGATACTCATCTTACAATGAATTTCTACAGTTTTTGACTTGTTTGTTTCTATAGTTGCTTAAAGTTGCTTAACTGATTCATTTTGACCTTATGCCCTTGTGTTGTTGTTGTTGTTGCATCCATTGTTTTCCTCTCGAGGGAGCTGGAGCACCAAAGCACCCACGCAGTCGGCGCCCCTGGATTTGGACATTCAGTGTAACAACAAATGCATATAAAATAATATACAAATAATAAACAAAATAAATAAATCCTCATATAATATTTTGCATTATACAATGATTTTATCTCTTCGTCTGCAAGATATGATGGCATAAGCATTCTGACTCTGCGGGAAGCAGCAAAATATTAGTGATGTGATCTAATAATCATTTAGAGATAAAACGTATGGAATCTTTATTGGTCACACTCGTCAAGTCTTAAAGTTTAAGTCTTAGTCTCATATATCATCAAGTCAGAGATATTTTCTAAAAAAAAACTCAAAAATTAATTAAAAATATCCAGATTTATTGAAGGAACTAATCTATACATACCATATAATATATTGTATGTATAATTATTATTGCTTCATTAACTAGATTATTCATATTGAGTAAATACAAATATCTGTATATTTTTTCGGTTTGATTTTATGTCACATCTATTATCGTCTAATTTTTCACATGACAGATATTAATTTTATCTGTAGACATATAACAAAGTAATGATAATTTTTTTGAGACAACTGAATTGCAAAATTTGTTTAAAATTAATAATTAAATAAATTTGTTTTATCATAATTACGGAACACATTCATCGGGGGTCCCTTTCAGTACTTTGCGATTTCCTGGATATGAGTAAAATTATAATATACGGGGTGTTTTTCAAAAGTGGCTAAGCCTCTATAATAGTATATATCATAAATGAGAATTGATTGACGTATTCAATTAGTTCCATTCACCTCCTGTTGCACCGAAAATGACTAAAATTTTTATTTTTGAAATGGTAGGTACATTCGTTTTTGTAATGGTCGGTATGTTTTTAAATGGCATTCTGAATAGAATGACATATCATATATAACTTTTGATATTTTTGCATAAAACGGCTATAAATTTAATGACTCGAAATACCAAGTACAATAATAACAATAGCTCCCATATATAGCGTTTAACGACTTGGGAGTAGCAAGATACAGCTTGCATGCTAGAGCCGTTCGGTATATAAGGAAGGTAATGTGGCGGGCACTACGCTTCAACCGCTTATTTATTACCTCAGGATTGTGAAAATCCAAAGTACTCATTTGAGGCTGAGTCGACCTAGGTACCCAAAACTATTTATTAATTCAGTTCAAATTGTCGTTATGAACCGCATGTTACAATTTCAAACAAACCATATGTGAAAATGTCAAAAGTTGACATATGATATGTCATTCTATTCAGACTGTCATTTTCTATCAAACAAAGTAAAAAAATACCGAGGGTGCCATTTAAAAATTAAAAATTGTAGTCTGAAGTGACCGAAAACAATTGAATATTATGTCATTCAATCCTAATTTATGTCATAAATATACTAACATACCAAATCTCGTTGTTTTATCTGAAGAAATCAAAAAGTTATAGGGGTGAGCCCCCAAGTAGCATCTATCTGACTTCGAACTAAATCTGACCTGAAGCGACGTCAGACTTTGTGCAAATTTAGGTCGGGTGCTCGTGATACGACCTGTGACGTCGCTTTCCTATTAAAAGCGACGTCGTTGGATCCGAGTCGGTAAATCCAACGATATGTCGACGTACAAAATAACAACGTAACATTTTTATTAATTTCCTAACGTCGTTCCCACGTTGGCTTGCACGACGTACATATACTTGAACTAGCCCGACGTCTACCCGTTGTCCGAATAGGATACGTCTCACTGATAATCCCTAAAGTAACTTCCAATTATATTTTGTTGAATTTTATGTTCATATTTATAACCTAATTTACGTATCTCTATTTATGTCCGTAAATACAACCCATTAAGTAGCATTTGCGATCTGATGAACATCATCAACATCTAATAAAAAGTTTTTGTAAACAAACTTAAATTTTTTATTATGCCTAAAAAAACACTAAAAAGGCATTTAGACATTCATCTACATTTTACAGAAAGAGGTCGAGGCAAAATAATAATAGTAGTAGTGATGTCTTGCCTCCACCCGTAAATGCTTTTTATCCGAAAGAGATGCTGCATTACACTGGTGCATCTTAATTTCATTTTTTAGCTTAGAATACCAGCAGACCCCATCCTCCTCCGACATGTGAGGTTAGGCTTAAAAAAGTGGCTGCCCATTTTTTTTAACGAGAAAACAAAAACTAAAATATAGTTGCACAAATCCACAAATCACTGATACGCAAAATGCAAAGTGAGATTACGTGGCGTACGTTGGAATTATATACGTCATAATACGATTGCCGGTCGTCCGGTTTGATGACTTCGGTCGTGTGAGACGACTAATGTTGGAGACCCGGTCGGAATTGGTATATTGGTAGTTCATATTAAGTTGGACACCGAAATCCGCCGTTCTTAACACGTATCCGAGTGATGTGGCATTTTAAAATCGTTTTTTGTTTTTAAAATTTATATTCATATTTCGATTTCTAGTAGAATAATATTGATAAGGTTGAGTTTAGGGGGAACCACAGTACAGTTTTATGATTAAACCAGCTAGAAAATTAAAAAAATATTTTGCGAGTTACTTTTTTATAGATATTTTTATTTCATAAATCTACCTAATTTTGAAGGCGCTCGTTGTTTTCCGGAGTATTTTAATCAGATATATCAAGAAAGTGATTTCCGTTGACAAAACTGATGTCTGGATTAATGATTCAGAATTATTATAATATGAAATTAGATAGGCACTTATAGTTATATTCGAGGAGTGACTAAGAATCCATTTGTAATTAGGTAGTTTGGTTAGGTTTTGATGTATTCTTGGTAGCGAATATGAAACCAAACGTAACGTAAGTGCTTAGCGACGAATTTTAAGTAACTAAAATCCAACGTTATATGACGTTGGTAATTGGTAGAATTACATTCCCTATTAGGTCAGATACCGACGTCGAGGCGACCCGAATCTGTATTCCCCATTTAGGTGCAAATAAGGGTCGTCAGGCGGTCGAACCGACGTTGGTACCCGACGTCGGGTTTATTGAACGCGACGTATACCCGACGTTAGATAACGTCCAAATGCTACTTGGGTGATAGTATAAAAATTTGGCGAAACACGTCAATTTACATATCAAGGGGGACAATTTTTGAGACATTTGTTGTCGTGTTACTTTTAACCCCTTGACCCCCAGGGCACCTACATCTAAAATTTTAAATAGCAACCCCTATTTCTTGTACCACTTTGTGTTTCTTACAGAATTCTACATAAACTGCATTATTTTTTTGAGAATTTTATAAGAAACACAAAAATGGTAAAAGATATAAGGGTTGCCATTTAAAACTTTAGGTGTAGGTGCCCTGGATAGGTAAATTGAGTATTTCGCCAAATTTTCATACTATCATCGGTAGAGGTAATAATAAATACTGTTCGTTTTCAAATTGTCACTTTGTATATTCTTCTTCTTCTTACAGTGCCATACTCTATATAGAGCGTCGGCTACCTCTCGCATGTACTTACTTATTAAAAATTATTTCTGTTTTTTAGGAACGATAATCCATATATTTATAGGAATAACGCAGGAAAGTTTTCATGAAGTTTTGAACAGAAAACATAAAAATGGTATTATTAACTTCTCGGCAATCTTTTTAATGAAGCTGTATACTGTCGTCTTAAACATTGTTACAAATTTACATTGGAGAGGTAAAATATACCGTCATATATCATCAATATAATCGACTTACCTCCAATATAACTCGTTTCAGGTGCTTGGATAATAATAGACGAATATTTTGGGATTGTCATGACTGAAACGGGAGAGACTAAAGTTGCTAGACCATTTGAAGCGTTTCTGTTTTTTGGGTTTTGCTTTACAGTCATGTTTTTTATGAAATGTCTGAGGAACCTAAACTCGCCGCCTTTCGAGATATGCATGGATTATGGGGACGACATGTTCTTGTTTCCAAACATGTTCAAAGTAAATGTAAGTATTTCTATATTTATTACATAACTGAAAAATGTACCTACACTACTACATCTACAAAACATCAAAATTAAGTACCTACTCATATCCTAAAACTGAAATAACGCCTGGTTGTGGAAGATTTGTGTAATTTTTGTAATAATACCAACCTAAATTGAGTTTATTAACTGTTTTATGACACAAAAGCAAACACAATTTCATTTATATGCATATTATGTAACAAACAGATATATGATTTACCACATAGGTGTATGGATGCAGATATCGAATACTCAGTTTCGATATCATATTCATACTGCATTTTTATATTACAAATTACTTGACCTCATAGCTTTTGTAAATTGCTTAGTTCCAAGTGGTTCTTATAAAACTAAGAACTAGACTTTTTCAAATAACTAACCTATATTATCACACCGGCAAAAAAAACCGGCCACTAAAAACTAGTCCCAATTTCAAAGTTGGATTTCTCGCCAACCACTCATTAGATGTTGATGATTTTTTTTGTAAATTAATTCCTTAAACGGATGCTACGTCAGAAATTTTTATTCCGAATATATTTTGAGCATATACAAGGCACAACAAGAAGACAACATTTTTTGCCCGAACTTTGTAACACCCTGTAGGGTGCAGCAACTGTAGTAGCTATTGCTAAATCAAATCACATCGTAGCCTCATCTTTTGTGAGCACTTTATTTTTTTAATCACGACATTATCTCTGTTTGTATTGGAGATACGCTGCTTAAAAACGAACGTCTCGGAAAAATGCTTCGCACGCAGAAAATGTTATGTGTATATAGTTAAGGCGACATGTAACAGTATTTGCAGTATGACAACTACGGTTGTCAAATTAAAAAATGCCATTATCTCTGACGGATGTTGCTCGTATTGTCGCTTTAATTGAGGATGGCCGAAGTCAACGTTATGAGTCCGATACCCTGGGTATACCTCGAACAACAGTCCAGGATTCCTGGAATCGGTATATGGAAACGGGAAATTTCACCAGGCGAGTGGGTTCCGGGGAAAACGGAAGACAAATGCAATTGACGACTGCTTTATTGTCCTGAATACGAAATTGTGGAATTACAGCGTTTCAGAATCAACATCTGCTACAAGCCGTGCGTAGAACTCAAGTTAGTGAGAGAACAATCCGTCGAAGACTAAAAGAAAACAGCTTGTCTCCAAGAAGGCCTGCCACAGGACCTCAGCTACTTCCAAGGCACGTCTTCAGTTTGCGCATTACATGTGAATTGGGATATTGAGCAATGGACTAACGCTTTTTTCGAGGCGTTTGTTTTAAAGCAACGTATCTCCAATACAAACAGAATAATGTCTTTAAATATAATAATTATTAATAATAAAATAATAATTTAAATAATGTGATTAAAAAACAAAATGCTCAGAAAAGACGAGGCTACAATGTGATTTAGTTAGGTTACTTTAGGTTATTTAGCAATAGCTACTACAACACCCTACAGGGTGTTACAAAGTTCAGGCAAAAAGCTTCGTGTTGTGCCCTGTATATGCTCAAAATAAATTCGGAATAATAATTTCTGACGTAGCATGCGTTAAGAAGGAATTAATTTAAAATTTAAAAAAAATCATCAAAATCTAACGAGTGGTTGGCGAGAAATCCAACTTTGAAATTGGGATTAGTTTTTAGTGGCCGGATTTTTTTGCCGGTGAGTGTATTTTTAAGACCTTCGAAAGTAGCTCTTTTCTAAAGTTCCTTTACAGGTTTCTCGTACAGGTTTTAACCAAAGGTTTTAACACTGAATATGCACTGCGAGTTTTATTCTGTATCCTACACATCCACTGCTTTAGAATCACTCAAACTTATATCTGATTTTCGTTTTTAATGTTTTATTCTCGATTGGCATCATCATCATCATCGTCATCATTTTCAGCTTATTCAACTATTTCTTATTATAGCCTAGCCTCCATCACATATTTAGATACTGTCTTTGTAATTGGGCCCATTATTGTTTATTCTTGACATTGCAGGCCCAAGCTATCCCTGCTAATTTCCTAATAGCATGGTCCCATCTCAGGTTTGGTCTTTCTCTAAGTCTCTTAATTCCTCGATGGTACTTGTACTGGTTTCTTGCCACGTGTCCTGCTACTTGAGGAATTGGATTCTGTTCATGAGATCTATTACCTGGGTCTTTTGTCGTATCCACTCTATTCTTTTAAGGTCTTTCTTGGTTATTCCCAGCATATTTGGTTCCGTTGAGCGTTATTCAGATGCGCGACCTCTAGTTTCCTTATAATGTCCGTTTTAAGTGTCCAAGTTTGCGTGCATAGGTCATGAATGGGAGTGCACATTGGCCGAACGTTTTCTTCTTTAAATAAAGTGGCATTCTAGATTTGAATATGATTGAGTTCCTTCTATAAGTACTCCATGCTAACTTAAGTCTTCTGTTGATTTCTGGTAGTGGAGATGCCGAGCTGTGTATTAGTTATCCCAAATAATATATATTTATATTCCTCTACTATTTCCAGTGTTGTGTTATTTATTAGAATGTGGCATATGTGGTGATTGGCATATTTCTAACCAGATTACCCAACTAACATTCTTTGTTTTATAATGGTAATGGTTACGTTTCGATAACCTACTTAATAAAATCTAAGAGCCTATCAATTGTTCGTGAAACGTTTTCGTTACCCTTATAACACCCCTATAGCACTTAATTGGAGAATCTTATAAAGGTAACGGTGACCAAATTTTAGTGCCTTATAAAACCTTTAACGTGACCTTTACTCTCCATTTATTGGTAACTAAGATGTTGTCTTTACCTTTATAAACCATAAATAAGTTTTATAGCGGCAAGGAATACATTTTCGTTACCGCTTTAAAACCTTTATATTCCTTTATAGTGTTTATAAACACCAAAATAAAAAACGCCCCTTTTAAGTTCATCTCTTTTTACAACGTTTGTTTGCAATATATTCTATTTCAAGTTCTTGTCATTATTATTCTGCTTGTACTTTTTAAAGTTGACAGCAATGGATTTTCACTTTGATGAAAATGGCGTGTTATAATAATTACCATAACAACTTAAACACTCTGTAAGAATTTTATGAGGACTAAATTTTATTGGCACGGAAGATTTATCGAGTAATATTAACATTTTACCCTTATTAAAACTAAAGCGCCCCCGTTTAGAACTCAATTATAATTTATTTTGTAAAAACCAAAAAATTAAAATTACGTCTCATGATTTGTTTTTTTTGCAAATAAGCTGCGCAACATTTCTTAACCCCATGCTTTTGAGAAAATACGTCTTAAAGCTTCGGTAATATTGCTTAAAATGCAATATTCTTCTTTTTTGTGTAAGTACAACAACACAAACATAAAATGGCCGCCTTATAAAAGGACGTCATGTTCGCCATTTCGCCTTTTAAAAACCTCTAGTTTTATATGGGCCTTAAAGTAATCATCCACACTTTAAAAACTCTTATAACACTTCCCTAGGTGTCTTATGGAAATTTTGCTCTTGCAATAAAACCTTAGGTGCTTTTGTGATGCTTAATAGTTTTATAAGTTACCAAAAAGGTATTTATAGAAACTTGACCATTGACCATAACCCCACTTTTTGTTTCGGGCGTTTTGGCTTTGGCAAAACAATTTTTTAATCAAAATAATTAAAACAAAGCCCTTCAGTGCACTTCAAAATTGTCCAAACAACAGAGGATGGAAAATCAACACCGTCTTTGACCAAATTTCCCTGATATCTATACATTCTTCTAAAGGTCCTTTACCCCTTTCTTCATCGGTGGCAGTCGATTCAGTCGAAGTATTTGGCAATGTATCTTCTTGAGGAACGTCTAAGTTTTGTTAATTTTTAGTAGTTGTGGGTGGTGTGCTTCCCAAAATATTTTTACGGGTTTTAACGCACTTTCTATAAAAACTGCTACTGTATTTAATTTTTTCCAACTTTTTCTTTCTTCTTCCATCTTTGATTTACAAAAGCAAAACAGGAACATAAAACATAACCTAACCTTAAAAATATAGCGCCCCCTATTCTACACATGAAAGGAGTTGCTACTGAGCCTATAAGTTTTATAAAATCTTTAGGTTTTGTAGTAGCTGTAGAATGTTTATTAGGTGCCTTAGGATTTTTAAGGGTTTTACGAAGTAAGCTATAAAACTCCAAGAGTAAAAGTTTTATAATAAGGTTTTTAAGAACGCTATAAAACCCTTTTAAAAAAACCTTAAGTAACCAATACCAAAAGTTTTATAAATAAGGTAACGAAAACATTTTGGATGCAATATTATAAAACTTCAAGTATTTTGGTATTTTTTCGAGGTGTTACAAAACTTTTAACACCAATAGTGTTCTTATAAGACTTTAAACACTCTTATAAATGTTAAGGTTCCTTATAAACCTCTTATAAATACCCGTTACCTTTTAATAAAACTTTAGGCTCCGAAAAATGTTACTTGGGTAACAACATGAGCCTCTGTGTATACATTTGGTTGATAGATCTGGTTATCCTGAGATAGTCATATAGTATTGAAATTAAGTTTCATTTCGAAATCTTTAAAAAAAGTGTTATTTTGTAAATACAATTTTTCTAATAATTAACTTCCCGTAATATTTAATTTTATTTTTTAGTCTATTTTGTCCAGGACTACAAGTTTATTTCGACATATGCAAATATAACTAAGTTTTGTGATATACAAAGAATAAAAGAATAATTTATAAGTTCTAGTTTACTAAACATTTAGAAAATTACTTATAGATTTACAATGCCCAATCATTCATATATAAAAATAAAAAAACTAAGCAATTTTAAGTTTAAAGGAGATTTAAATTCACTTAAGATCATAATATGTTATTGCTACTGTCATGAATTTTAAGTATAAATTTATTATTTTTTCTTCTAACATTTCATAACTTCTAACAGTTCATAAACTAAACAGAACTAATTAGATGTAATATCAATATGCAAACTTAACTATATTGCTTTACTTGTTACTGCTGTGAATACAAGACCAG